GAGTATCTAGGACTTGGATTTTTATTTGTATCGAAAATATTTTTTCAATGGATATCAGAGTGGCTATATTTTCTAAAATTTTTGTTCAAAGTCCTTCAGTGATCATGGATTTTGTGCAAAATATTTTTGCAAGGACTATCTAAGGGTAGATTTTTTCCATAATATTTTTTCAAGGAGTCTCTTGGCGTGGGGATGTCCTCAATTATTTTTCCAAGGACTACCAGGAGCTAACTAAATTTTATTTCATGTCGAGGCAGACCACTGTCTATACCACCAACCAATGGTGTTGAAAAAAAGCCACCCTCCCTGCACACGATGTTGGGTGAAAAGTTGTCTTTTTGTGGTGGGGTTTCGGCATTGTTGTTGTTCTTCTTCTTCTGCTTCTATCAAGCAATACTCTTTGCGTGAAATTCAATATTTTGTTCTTCTTCTCCCTTTTTCTGTTGTTTGCTTGGCAAAAGGGAAACGGAGAATGCCGGTTATTTCGTAACTTGTGTTTTTTTGCACAAAAAAACTTTAAGCGGACGTCTTGTTGTTGTCATGGCTGAGAAAGCTAACAAAGGGAGAGAGAAGGCGGCATGCAGGCAGGGAATTCATAAGGGGAGGGCAAGAGGGTGAGGGAGGTGGGAGTTAGAAATAAAAGCACACACCAATTTACAGCATGCACGTGATGACACAACAGGAGAGCCAAATAAGAAGAAGAAGAAGAACAACAAAAACAACAACACGATGAAAATCTTCAAGAACAAAAGATTCCGGAAAAACGATTTCAGATATATATTCGATAAATATGGGGATGTGTATGTGTGCCTGTGGAACAGCTGATCATGTAAATTTAGTGCGAATGAATCATCGGAGCAATGGTCCAAAAAAAGAGCAAAATTTTTATTATCGGGGGAAATTGGGTGTTGGAGGGCCCTCCCGGTGGCCCCGGATGGCTGGCCGACTAATAACAATTATAAACGCTGAGGTAATAATATTTGTTTGTTACCAAGTTACCAATTGAGCCATAGAGCCGAACAATGCAAACTGGTGTTGACAACGTCAACAAACACCAGTCAGTCAGTCGAACACATGGCATCAATGCTGGCCGTAGATGGTGACGATGATGAATGTGTCATGTCAACCTATGGGTCAACAATCACAACATGGGAAAAACATCACTCAAATTGAGGGGATGATGTCCTTTGTGTGATATCGAAGGAACTATTTTTATTTTTGCAAACAATAACAACAACAGTGGAACCTTACCCGCGATTTTCACGGCCTGGAACATCGACTTACCTAAAAAGAAAAGAAAAAGATTCTATTAAAAAAATTGATTTTTTAATAAATTTTTTTTTCAAGGACCAACAAACAAGGCGTGGATTTTTTAAAAAATATTTTTTCAAGGACCAAAAAACAAGGCGTGGATTTTTTAAGAAATATTTTTTCAAGGACCAACAAACAAGGCGTGGATTTTTTAATAATTATTTTTTCAAGGACCAACAAACAAGGCGTGGATTTTTTAAGAAATATTTTTTCAAGGACCAACAAACAATGCGTGGATTTTTTAAAAAATATTTTTTCAAGGACCAACAAACAAGGCGTGGATTTTTTAAAAAATATTTTTTCAAGGACCAACAAACAAGGCGTGGATTTTTTAAAAAATATTTTTTCAAGGACCAACAAACAAGGCGTGGATTTTTTAAAAAATATTTTTTCAAGGACCAACAAACAAGGCGTGGATTTTTTAAGAAATATTTTTTCAAGGACCAACAAACAAGGCGTGGATTTTTTTAAGAAATATTTTTTCAAGGACCAACAAACAGGCGTGGATTTTTTTAAGAAATATTTTTTCAAGGACCAACAAACAAGGCGTGGATTTTTTTAAGAAATATTTTTTCAAGGACCAACAAACAAGGTGTGGATTTTTTTAAGAAATATTTTTTCAAGGACCAACAAACAAGGCGTGGATTTTTTTAAGAAATATTTTTTCAAGGACCAACAAACAAGGCGTGGATTTTTTTAAGAAATATTTTTTCAAGGACCAACAAACAAGGCGTGGATTTTTTTAAGAAATATTTTTTCAAGGACCAACAAACAAGGCGTGGATTTTTTTAAGAAATATTTTTTCAAGGACCAACAAACAAGGCGTGGATTTTTTTAAGAAATATTTTTTCAAGGACCAACAAACAAGGCGTGGATTTTTTTAAGAAATATTTTTTCAAGGACCAACAAACAAGGCGTGGATTTTTTTAAGAAATATTTTTTCAAGGACCAACAAACAAGGCGTGGATTTTTTTAAGAAATATTTTTTCAAGGACCAACAAACAAGGCGTGGATTTTTTTAAGAAATATTTTTTCAAGGACCAACAAACAAGGCGTGGATTTTTTTAAGAAATATTTTTTCAAGGACCAACAAACAAGGCGTGGATTTTTTTAAGAAATATTTTTTCAAGGACCAACAAACAAGGCGTGGATTTTTTTAAGAAATATTTTTTCAAGGACCAACAAACAAGGCGTGGATTTTTTAAGAAATATTTTTTCAAGGACCAACAAACAAGGCGTGGATTTTTTTAAGAAATATTTTTTCAAGGACCAACAAACAAGGCGTGGATTTTTTAAGAAATATTTTTTCAAGGACCAACAAACAAGGCGTGGATTTTTTTAAGAAATATTTTTTCAAGGACCAACAAACAAGGCGTGGATTTTTTTAAGAAATATTTTTTCAAGGACCAACAAACAAGGCGTGGATTTTTTTAAGAAATATTTTTTCAAGGACCAACAAACAAGGCGTGGATTTTTTTAAGAAATATTTTTTCAAGGACCAACAAACAAGGCGTGGATTTTTTTAAGAAATATTTTTTCAAGGACCAACAAACAAGGCGTGGATTTTTTTAAGAAATATTTTTTCAAGGACCAACAAACAAGGCGTGGATTTTTTTAAGAAATATTTTTTCAAGGACCAACAAACAAGGCGTGGATTTTTTTAAGAAATATTTTTTCAAGGACCAACAAACAAGGCGTGGATTTTTTTAAGAAATATTTTTCAAGGACCAACAAACAAGGCGTGGATTTTTTTAAGAAATATTTTTTCAAGGACCAACAAACAAGGCGTGGATTTTTTTAAGAAATATTTTTTCAAGGACCAACAAACAAGGCGTGGATTTTTTTAAGAAATATTTTTTCAAGGACCAACAAACAAGGCGTGGATTTTTTTAAGAAATATTTTTTCAAGGACCAACAAACAAGGCGTGGATTTTTTTAAGAAATATTTTTTCAAGGACCAACAAACAAGGCGTGGATTTTTTTAAGAAATATTTTTTCAAGGACCAACAAACAAGGCGTGGATTTTTTTAAGAAATATTTTTTCAAGGACCAACAAACAAGGCGTGGATTTTTTTAATAAATATTTTTTCAAGGACCAACAAACAAGGCGTGGATTTTTTTAATAAATATTAAAATGGAATTTCCTTGCAAATAATAATAAATAATAAAATCAATTCTCTGAAGTGTTACCGGAACTTAATATTGAAAAATACAGGGCGAGATGAAAAAACTGCAACCAACTTTTAGACTGCTGTCATTTCTAAACCACTTGTCCGACAGCTGTTAAAATTATTCAGTGTCTGGAGTATTTTGGAAAGCAAGGTTGCCACTAAAAAATATCACCTCAAGCAAGCGCTTTGCCGGGAATGGGCCTAAATACCGCAGACCAACATTCGGGCAGCGTGTGACGGTTTCATTGGCCGTTTAAAGGCCATAATTCGTGCCAAAGGTGACCAATTCCAACAAATCTAAAGTTATTCTAAAATTTGATGGTATTTCCGATATTTATTGCTCTCATTCAATAAAATTAAAAAAAAAAATAAAATTATGGTGTTTGACTTTTTTCCAGATTTTTTTTTAACCCACCCTGTACAAATCATCAACCTTCGGTGATAACAGCATAGAAATCAATTCTGTGAAAAACGATTAAAAAAAAATAAAAATTACAATAACAATGATAAGAGTATATCAGGGATGGTAAAAGTTCACGATTTTGGGCCTTTTTGGGGGTTTAATAAAATTCTTTAAAAAATCCACGTTTCTGGGCCTTTTTGGGGGTTAAATAAAATTCTTTAAAAATCCAAGTTTCTGGGCCTTTTTCAGGGTTAAATAAAATTCTTTAAAAATCCACGTTTCTGGGCCTTTTTCAGGGTTAAATAAAATTCTTTAAAAATCCACGTTTCTGGGCCTTTTTCAGGGTTAAATAAAATTCTTTAAAAATCCACGTTTCTGGGCCTTTTTCAGGGTCAAATAAAACTCTTTAAAAATCCACGTTTCTGGGCCTTTTGGGGTTTAAATAAAATTCTTTAAAAAATTCACGTTTCTGGGCCTTTTTGGGGGTTAAATCAAACTCTTTAAAAAATTCACGTTTCTGGGACTTTTTGGGGTTTAAATAAAATTCTTTAAAAAAACCACGTTTCTGGGCCTTTTTGGGGTTTAAATAAAATTCTTTAAAAAATCCACATTTCTGGGCCTTTTTGGGGGTTAAATAAAATTCTTTAAAAAATCCACGTTTCTGGGCCTTTTTGGGGGTTAAATAAAATTCTTTAAAAAATTCACGTTTCTGGGCCTTTTTGGGGGTTAAATAAAATTCTTTAAAAAATCCACGTTTCTGGGCCTTTTTGGGGGTTAAATACAATTCTTTAAAAAATCCACGTTTCTGGGCCTTTTTGGGGGTTAAATAAAATTCTTTAAAAAATCCACGTTTCTGGGACTTTTTGGGGGTTAAATAAAATTCTTTAAAAAATCCAAGTTCCTGGGCCTTTTTGGGGGTTAAATAAAATTCTTTAAAAAATCCACGTTTCTGGGCCTTTTTGGGGGTTAAATAAAATTCTTTAAAAAATCCAAGTATCTGGGACCTTTTGGGGTTAAAAAAATTCTTTAGAAATATTTTCAAAACGTACATATTCAAATAAGTGCCATCCCTGATAAGAAAAGCACAACTGCTACTCAGAAATGCTGATAAGAGATTCCCATAATTATAATCAATTGAATATAAATTAAATTAATTCACAACAACTGTAAGTCAGTCAAAGTCACAAGATCAGCGGCAAGAATTCGAATCATGAAATATTTCAATTTTTTATTAATTTTAATTGTATCTGTCGCAGTCAAGGTAAGATTCTGAAGATTTGAAAAATTTCAAATCCTAAAAAAAATATAAACAAACCCCAATTTTTTGTAGGTCAACAATGCAGTGCCCCTGGAATCCTTTGAGGTGGACAGTAGGGATCACTCCCTTACGACGGATGAAAAATTAAAGGAAACCAAACGTTTCAAGCTGCTGGAATTTGCCTATGAAAATTTGCGGAGAACCATTTGGCCCGAGGAAGTTTACACCAAAATGTCCGAATATGTAGAGGCCCTCAAGAAGTGGTCCCAAGAGGATGACCATTTACGAAACGCCCATTTCTATGGAGAATTTGAAGAGGCCTTAGAAAATTGTGCAATTTTACTGAAAGGCCTCAGAAACGATCCTGGCAATTGTCAAAAACAGAAAAGTTTGAAATTTAATAACGACAAAATTCGTTCAATATTTCAATCGGTGACCAATGATGATCACCTGCAATATGGCTGGACTTCGAAATATTCCGATATGGTATTGCAGTTGCGTGACGTCATGCGTAACTCTTTCGAAAAGTTCTTTGTGAAATTGGAGGAGAGGGTGAAGGATTTCATTGGCAAGTTAAATGAGGCCGAGGAACATGAAAATGCCGATATTGTCCAGTGGCAGGAAAAGTTCTCACAGGAAACGAACTATATTCGCAAGGAGATATTGGTAATTGAGTTTATGGGGCTATTTCCAGATGAGCGACCCCTGGTGGAGAGTAAATGTAAGATACGCTATACAAATGGTTTGTAAAAAATACTCAATAAACAATACCTCTGTAGGCCTTCTTAGGGTTTAATAAAATCCTATAAAAATGCCTCTCTGAAGGCCTTTTTGGGGTTAAATAAAATTCTTTACAACATTCACATTTGAAGGCCTTTTGAGGGTTAAATAAAATCCTATAAAAAATGCTTCTCTGAAAACCTTCTTAGGGTTAAATAAAATCCTATAAAGAATGCTTCCCTGAAAGCCTTCATAGGGTTAAATAAAATTCTATAACAAATGTCTCTCTGAAGGCCTTTTGGGGGTTAAATAAAATTCTTTAAAAAATCCACGATTGAAGGCCTTTTGGGGGTTAAATAAAATTCTTTTAAAAATCCACGTTTGAAGGCCTTTTGGGGTTTAAATAAAATTCTTTTAAAAATCCACGTTTGAAGGCCTTTTGGGGTTTAAATAAAATTCTTTTAAAAATCCACGTTTGAAGGCCTTTTGGGGTTTAAATAAAATTCGTTTAAAAATCCACGTTTGAAGGCGTTTTGGGGGTTAAATAATGTTTTTTTAAAAAATCCACATATCTGGGCCTATTGGGGGTTAAATAAAATTCTTTAAAAAATCCACGTTAGAAGGCCTTTTGGGGGTTAAATAAAATTCTTTAATAAAACCACGTTTGAAGGCCTTTAGGGGGTTAAATAAAATTCTTAAAAAAATCCACGTTAGAAGGCCTTTTGGGGGTTAAATAAAATTCTTTAATAAAACCACGTTTGAAGGCCTTTAGGGGGTTAAATAAAATTCTTTAAAAAATCCACGTTAGAAGGCCTTTTGGGGGTTAAATAAAATTCTTTGGAAAATCCACGTTTGTGGGTCTTTTGGGGGTTAAATAAAAATCTTTAAAAAATCCACGTTTCTGGGCCTCTTTGGGGGTTAAATAAAAATCTTTAAAAAATCCACGTTTCTGGGCCTCTTTGGGGGTTAAATAAAATTCTTTAAAAAATCCACGTTTATGGGCCTTTTTGGGGGTTAAATAAAAATCTCTAAAAAATCAACGTTTCTGGGACTTTTGGGGCTTAAATAAAATTCTTTAAAAAATTCACGTTTCTGGGACTTTTTGGGGGGTTAATAAAATTATTTAAAAAATTTACGTTTGTGGGCCTTTTGGGGGTTAAAAAATCCACGTTTATGGGCCTTTTGGGGGTTAAATAAAATTCTTTAAAAAATCCACGTTTCTGGGCCTTTTGGGTTTCCATGTTAGAGGTTTTGTGTGAATAACCCCTTAACTGCCAATTTCAGGATGCCATGGCAATTGTTTTGCCATTCTGCGGGTATGAGGTGTTAATAACCGGTAGCTATGGTGACGAATACGTAATGTTATGGTAGGTAATAGAAAATTATTCCGGGTTAAATTATAACTGTTACACAATGGGTTTTCTGGGAGACGGAGAGAGAGAGAAAGAGAGGTTTTAAGGACCCCAACAATTTGTATTCACCGTCGATATGTTATCCTTGTTTATGTTGTTAAAAGCATGCATAAATTTCGAAAAAGGACAAAGTATGAGTAACACAACACAAGCTCCAAAAACCACCGACAACCGGTCAGTGAGGCGTCAGACCAACAACAAAATAAAAAAAAACAATCAATTGCAAAGAGGAGGAGGGGGGGGGGGAATTCACATAACACAAAGAAAACTATGATAAAAATAGATGAAAAGGAAAAATAAAACACAGATGGGAAAACGGCCACCTGAATGTATGAGTAATATTATTTTTCGACAACCGTAATTTAAAGGGCAAAAACTGCATTGAAATGTGGCTCAAGCTCTCTACATTACCTAAAGAGAGGAAGAGGGAGAGAGAGAGAGAATTGGTAAAAAAATAATGAGAGAGAAAAATTGAAACAATTATCCTGTCATTAAATATAACACTAAGGAGTCTTATACCTCACAATTAAAATACCCATGGAGAGAATACATTTCCAAGAGAGCTTAAAACAAGAGAGAGTGGACGAGAGACCATAATACGATGAGTCGTAGAAACCGAATGACGTTACATGTTTGCCTCAACACGACAATAGAATAGCGGCGCCATCGTTTATAAGACCTCTGGCTGACAAATGTGGAGAAAACTATTCTCTCTCTCCCAGCCTTTTCTAAATGAACTCCACTCTCTCTCTCTCTTTCTCTTCTCTTGATTTTCCTTTTGTATTTCATGAATTTTTGCTGAAAATGCACACCGATGAATCACTGTTTGTTTGCTTGCCATGTATTGGTGTAGCTGTGTGAAAACTTGCCTTGGTATTGGTGTGCGTGTGTGTTAACTGTTATATTACTTTGATGGCTGGATGGCGGCGGCTGGTTGCTTGGTCGGTTGGTTAACAATTTTCTAGGTTTAGTATACTTAAGTTTTGTAGTATTTTTAGCTATATTTTTTATGACCATAGTTTGTTGTCTATAGTATTTGAGCAGGAATTATGCCGACAAGGATATCACAAAAAAGGGTGTTACATTTACTGGGGTGATATGAAAAGGAAATTTAAATTTACGGATAAAAATATTGTGGAGGGATTTCAGAGGTCATAAAACAAATTAGGAGCCCTTTATGATGGGAATAAAAATTTTTAACAAATCCATGCCTGAGGACCTTCTTAGGGTTAATTAAAATTCTTTAAAAAATCCACGTTTCTGGGATTTTTTGGGGTTAAATAAAATTCTTTAAAAAATCCACGTTTCTGGGATTTTTTGGGGTTAAATAAAATTCTTTAAAAAATCCACGTTTCTGGGATTTTTGGGGTTAAATAAAATTCTTTAAAAAATCCACGTTTCTGGGATTTTTTGGGGTTAAATAAAATTCTTTAAAAAATCCACGTTTCTGGGATTTTTTGGGGTTAAATAAAATTCTTTAAAAAATCCACGTTTCTGGGATTTTTTGGGGTTAAATAAAATTCTTTAAAAAATCCACGTTTCTGGGATTTTTTGGGGTTAAATAAAATTCTTTAAAAAATCCACGTTTCTGGGATTTTTTGGGGTTAAATAAAATTCTTTAAAAAATCCACGTTTCTGGGATTTTTTGGGGTTAAATAAAATTCTTTAAAAAATCCACGTTTCTGGGATTTTTTGGGGTTAAATAAAATTCTTTAAAAAATCCACGTTTCTGGGATTTTTTGGGGTTAAATAAAATTCTTTAAAAAATCCACGTTTCTGGGATTTTTTGGGGTTAAATAAAATTCTTTAAAAAATCCACGTTTCTGGGATTTTTTGGGGTTAAATAAAATTCTTTAAAAAATCCACGTTTCTGGGATTTTTTGGGGTTAAATAAAATTCTTTAAAAAATCCACGTTTCTAGGACTCTTAGGGGTTAAATAAAATTCTTTAAAAAAATCACGTTTCTGTGACTTTTTGGGGTTAAATAAAATTCTTTAAAAACTCCATGTTTCTTGGTCTGATTTGGTTGAAAAAATATTCTTTAAAAAATCCACGTTTCTTGGTCTTTTGGTCCTTGAAAAAATATTCTTTAAAAACTCCACGTTTCTTGGTCTTTTGGTCCTTGAAAAAATATTCTTTAAAAAATCCACGTTTCTTGGTCTTTTGGTCCTTGAAAAAATATTCTTTAAAAACTCCACGTTTCTTGGTCTTTTGGTCCTTGAAAAAATATTCTTTAAAAAATCGACGTTTCTTGGTCTTTTGGTCCTTGAAAAAATATTCTTTAAAAAATCCACGTTTCTTGGCCTTTTGGTCCTTGAAAAAATATTCTTTAAAAAATCGACGTTTCTTGGTCTTTTGGTCCTTGAAAAAATATTCTTTAAAAAATCCACGTTTCTTGGTCTTTTGGTCCTTGAAAAAATATTCTTTAAAAAAATTCACATTTCTTGGTTTGATGGCCCTTGAAAAAATATTCTTTAAAAAAATCCACGTTTCTTGGTCTTTTGGTCCTTGAAAAAATATTCTTTAAAAAACCCACGTTTCTTGGTCTTTTGGCCCTTGAAAAAATATTCTTTAAAAAATCCAAGTTTCTTGGTCTTTTGGTCCTTGAAAAAATATTCTTTAAAAAATCCACGTTTCTTGGTCTTTTGGTCCTTGAAAAAATATTCTTTAAAAAATCCACGTTTCTTGGTCTTTTGGTCCTTGAAAAAATATTCTTTAAAAAATCCACGTTTCTTGGTCTGATGGTCCTTGAAAAAATATTCTTTAAAAAAATTCACATTTCTTGGTTTGATGGACCTTGAAAAAATATTCTTTAAAAAAAATCCACGTTTCTTGGTCTTTTGGTCCTTGAAAAAATATTCTTTAAAAAATCCACGTTTCTTGGTCTTTGGGTCCTTGAAAAAATATTCTTTAAAAAGTTAAAGTTTCTTGGTCTTTTGGTCCTTGAAAAAGTATTCTTTAAAAAACCCACGATTCTTGGTCTGATGGTCCTTGAAAAAATATTCTTTAAAAAATCCACGTTTCTTGGTCTGATGGTCCTTGAAAAAATATTCTTTAAAAAATCCACGTTTCTTGGTCTGATGGTCCTTGAAAAAATATTCTTTAAAAAATCCACGTTTCTTGGTCTGATGGTCCTTGAAAAAATATTCTTTAAAAAATCCACGTTTCTTGGTCTTTTGGTCCTTGAAAAAATATTCTTTAAAAAATCCACGTTTCTTGGTCTGATGGTCCTTGAAAAAATATTCTTTAAAAAATCCACGTTTCTTGGTCTTTTGGTCCTTGAAAAAATATTCTTTAAAAAATCCACGTTTCTTGGTCTGATGGTCCTTGAAAAAATATTCTTTAAAAAATCCACGTTTCTTGGTCTTTTGGTCCTTGAAAAAATATTCTTTAAAAAATCCACGTTTCTTGGTCTTTTGGTCCTTGAAAAAATATTCTTTAAAAAATCCACGTTTCTTGGTCTGATGGTCCTTGAAAAAATATTCTTTAAAAAATCCACGTTTGTTGGTTTTTTGGTCCTTGAAAAAATATTCTTTAAAAAATTCACGTTTCTTGGTCTGATGGTCCTTGAAAAAATATTCTTTAAAAATCCACGTTTCTTGGTCTTTTGGTCCTTGAAAAAACATTCTTTAAATAATCCAAAT